TGTTTGGTTCTCTCATAACGAGAGAGAGCGAGAGAGAGAGAGAGAGAGAGAGAGAGAGAGAGAGAAGAGAGAGAGAGAGACCTCCTTTCCTCAGGCTACTCAGACTTTAAAGGCAGAGTGAACTCTGTGACACTCAGTTTTGGGTAACCATCTTTTGGCCCGGTGTTCTGGGGCTGGCACCCCTATCCTGCCATAAACCTCTAATCCACATCTTCCCAGGGTAAAACTATTCCCTAGTGATCTTTATTTTTTATTTTTTTATTTTTTTGGTACCGGGGATCAAACTCGGGTCCTTGCTCTTGCCAGGCAGGTGGCAGAACCACCGAGCTAAATCCCCGGCCCTCCTAGTGATCTTTATAAAGCAACATTAGTGTTTGTAGAATATTCCTGCCCCTCAGCCATGTGTTCAGGTGGGAGGTGAGGTTCAGTCTTCGATGTCCCTCACACCCAGCCCTCTGGGATCTGTTCTTTCACTTGCAGGTGAGAGGCCCTTCCACTGCAACCAGTGTGGTGCCTCCTTCACCCAGAAGGGCAACCTGCTGCGCCACATCAAGCTGCACTCTGGGGAGAAGCCCTTCAAATGTCCCTTCTGCAACTATGCCTGCCGCCGGCGTGACGCACTCACTGGCCACCTCCGCACACACTCAGGTCAGTGACCAGTGACCATCCAGCCAGAGAGGAGATGGTGGGCCCAGGACACCCAGTAAATAGAACTCAGCAGTGATCTGTGTTGAGGAATTACAGTGTCTGTCACCCAGAAGAGAAGAACTCACAGAGCAGATCTAGCCCTGCCTCTCTAACCCTCCTCTGGGAGGTGGGACCCATGAGGAACCTGGGGCCCTCTTTCTTACTTACTTAGGTACTGGGGACTGAACCCAGGCCCTTCACACTGAGCTATATTCCCTGTCCCCCTTTTTAATTTTTACTTTATTTGAGACAGGTTCTTGCTAAGTTACTGAGTCCCCAAGCTAGGCTCAAACTTGCCTCAGCTTCTCAGAGTGTTGGGATTACAGGTATGTGCCACCACACCCAGCTTTGTAGGGTATTGTAGTAGGGCGTTATACCACCACAATGACACGGAGCAAATACAACATGGGCAATGTTCTTGGCTCCTCCCTGACTTGATTTTTAAAGACTGTGATGATGCCAGTGTCATCTGTGCCCTACCATCCCCTACTTCTGAGCTTCATAGAAGGACCCCTTCACACTCATCTGCCCCAGGCCCATACCTGTCACTACTTTTACCCATATCTCATAATACCAGGGGTCTTGAGCAACCACTAGCCATCCTCACCTCTACTTTCTGCTGGTTCCTGTAAATCTCCATGAGCCTCTGAAATGGGGAAAAAGGGAAAAGAGCATCCCATTTCTGTCCCAAGAGGTTGTCACTTTTCGGGAAGCAGGAACAAATCTAGAGCACCTTCCAGTGTTTGGAACAGTGCTGGGGAACTGGATTAACACAATTTTCTAGCTCAGTCAGGCTATATGAATCAATATCTGTTGGAATCAGGTGGACAAATAACACTTGTCAGGCATTTTACTAAGTTTTGGGCTTTTGACTTGGAATTGGGAAGAGGCCAAGAGCTGAGCTGTCAGGAAAGAGGGAGCTCAAGATTGAGAAAAGGCAGGAAGAGGGGAAGAAGGGAGAGAATTAGTAGGGTCTGTCCTCAGAAATTTTCCTGGCTGTTTTTCTTTTTCTAAACTCTCCTGGGCCAAGACTTAAAGGGGTAGAACAATCACTTTACCACTCTACTTTATCCATTTACCTTGTTCCAGGTTTTCCCACCTTGTAAATGGGACCTCTTTCTATGTATGCGGAGGAACAGGGAGAAAGATCATTGTTGACTCAAGCTTTGTAATCTACAGAGCATTTTGTTTGTTTGTTTGTTTGTTTTTTGGTACAGGGATTGAACTCTGGACCTTGCAAGCTTGCAAGGCAGGCACCGGAACCACTGAGCTAAATCCCCAGCTAGAGCATTTTTTTTGTGCCTCCTCATGTAATCTTCATAACAATTCCAAGATAGATGGGATTATCCCAGTTTTTTTGGAAAGGTTACCAAAGTTGTGGGGGAAAAAAGTTGTAGGCCACATTGCTATTCTACAGTAAAGCTGGGGCCACATGAAAAATCCAGTGCTAGAAATCCATGTGTCCTTGTCTTAGAAAAAGGGTGGCTCCCTCTGCTAGTTTGGAACAAGGATGGGTTGGCCCCAGGATTCTTACAAGATCAGCTGGGTAGATTTAGGCTGTTGTTCTGTAGATTATTAAGTAGATTATTAATCATTAAGTAGATTATTAGTAAAAGCAGACACCAACATGCTCTTGGTTCTTGTCTCTGTGAGCTGCTTCCTGTAAACCCACAGTGTAAGCAAAAAGAGGCTGGAGGGCTGGGGATTTAGCTCAGTGGTTCCGCCGCCTGCCCTGCAAGCATAAGGACCTGAGTTCGATCCCCAGTACAAAAAAAAAAAAAAA